GGGGGGGGGGGGGGGGAGTCATATAAAAGTTTTTCTCTTCAGCTGGGGGCCCACGAAAGGGTGAATCCGGCCCTGAGCCCTGTTCCTCCAGCTAGAGAGAGTCAAGCCGATCCAAGTTATGAAGGAGCCCCATGTTCAGAGGATGATGCAGCACTTTCTGAGCACAGGGGGCCTTTAAAGCATTGCACCCAAATGCACTGATGTATTCACTGGCCTCAGACACCCGTCTCCTCCAAGACAGCCGTTCTCAACCAGTTTTGTACTGTACCAGGACTGGAGTGGCCATCATAGAGGACATGCCTGTGTTCTGCTCTTCTGTCCTCTATTGATACAAAACCAAGCACCTTTATGTTCTCTATTCTTCTCTTCAACAACAACAAAAAATAGGGGACATAAAGGCGTCTGGTTTTGTAGCAATAGAGGACAACCAGACTGCCCTCTATGATGGCCACCCTAACCAGGAGCCATTTGTAAACATCAATGGCCAGTCCCAATTCAGTGCCCCTCACTCCCAACCGGCTGCCCCCCAGCCCTCCAGTGTGTGGGGCAGGAGGGGCTGGAGCTCTGCCAGCCTGCAAGGGAAAAGCCACAGTTTCCCACATTTTTCTCCTTGAAAGGAGAATCCATTTTTAAACTTTGTTTGTGACTGTTTCATATATTCTTGTGACCCACTTTTGGGTCATGACCCACAGGTTGAGAAACGCTGCTCCAAGAGTGCTAGAACATCCATTTCTACAGCAGATGGATGGGCAAGTAGGGATTTGTGGGTAGGCCAGCAGCCTTCATTAACCACACCAACCAATAATGAGTTCACAAGTTTCAGTATTTGCAAGTCTTTAAATCTACCATGAAAGTCATCTGATAATTCAGGGACAGTCACCCTGTGGCACAACATGTCGCAAGTGCCATGGTAACTCTGCATGTGGCACTTGGCAGACTAGGACAGAGCCCACACAGCACAGCCACAGATGAGGCAGGGAGCAGAAAGCAGAGCAATGGATTGGGCAGGGGATGGAGAGCTGTGTGGCAGTCAGGCCAGATCCAGATATGCAGGCACATGTGGTTTGTGGCACTGAAAACCTCTTTGCAGTGCCACAAACTCGATACCTGGCATGTTAAAGCATGTCCAGCACTGCAACTTTACAGTGTGGGGACAAAATTTGTTACTGGGAAATTCCATAGTTTCATAGTTTCTAGGGTCGGAAGGGACCTGAGTAGATCATCGAGTCCAACCCCCTGCCATGGCAGGAAAGAGTACTGGGGTCTAACCTCCTCTTAAAAACCCCCAGGGTAGGAGCCTGCACCACTTCTCTTGGAAGTTGGTTCCAGATCCTAGCCACCCTGATAGTGAAGTAGCACCTCCTGATATCTAGTCTGAATTTACCCTCTGCCAGCTTGTGACCATTATTCCTGGTCACTCCTGGGAGTGCTTGGGGGAACAGGGACTTCCCCAGTGCCTGCTGATCCCCCCTGACTAGTTTGTAACAGGCCACTAGTTCCCCCCTCAGCCTTCTCTT